TGTTTCCTGAGAGATTCCACCAGCAGCCTCCTTTCACAGTGGTCAGTCTCCCAACCCTGCTTTTCTGTGAATGGAAAGGCAGGCCACAGTCTCTGCAAACCCACACCAGGATCTGGGTAGAGGCTTCCATGGTCAGATTCTCTACCTGGATATGGATTCAGGTGATGGAGAGAGGAGCTGTGTTGGCACTGGGGCCTTTCCTAACCATAGTGATTATATTATAACTTCCTCTTACAAATTCCCCTGCTGTTGTCCCCTGTTTGCTAGCTTCTCTTGGTTGCTTAGCCTCTGGCTTTTAAGCTTTTCTGTCCTAGGTCAGTTCTACCCCTCATTAATCACACAGGGGGAAGGTGATTACAAGGCTGATTGAAGTTGATCAAGGGGAACAAAGGCTCAAACCATCCCTAAACACACAATCCCAACTGGCACTAACTTTTAACCTGAACAAGAGAAACCCAAACAGCCAAAACAAGCACACTCACCCAAAAATTAGTATTCAACGTATTGTTCATCAGGGAGATCTCCTTTTCTCCCTCTCAAACTCCCCTGTTTGGTAGCTCTTATTTAAAGTAATTTAAATGTCCTCTTAGTTTAAATAGTTTCAGCCTGATTGGCAATGCTGGAAGGAGGACAGGAGACACTGGATGTGGTTTAATTTGGCCTGATTCCTAAATGTCTGGGATTACCTGGCAGATAAAATTGTACAGCACAGGTAATTTCATAATCCTTTTCATATACCCAAGGGGCTATTCATAGCCCTCCCCTTACCCATCCTGGTCCCCAGCCAACCCATTGCTAGAACTAGCCACCCCCCTTGAATGAGGGTTGGGTGAGTGACTCCTTGCCATAGTAGTCATAGGCGCTCCGAACACCGCTGTTTCCACTCTCTTAAAATGGATTTGGGAAAGATTTAATCTGGCCAAGGTGTGATACTGTGTATAAGAAAGGTGATAATTTTATATACCTGTTACCACTGTTCCACAATTTCCATAAACCTTGTACAGAGTATGTCATGTAAGTTAAGTATGATTACCCTGTTTTTATGCATGTATCCTCTTTGTAGCTGAAGTTTTGAATATTGGCTATGTATTTGAAAGGCAAACCTGTGGGGTTTTCCTGGGTGAGACCCACAGACTTACATCAGGGCTAGATAGCTATATATTGATGGCCTATTGAGGACACTCAGCTTTCACAAATGGGCCATTGAAGAATCTCAGCCTGCCCAGTAGGTCTTCCTGCGGATGCTTCAGATATCAAGGAGCCAATGGCTACCCTGTGATTCAGCAAAACATGAGCCTATTGCATACCTCTTCATGTGACGCTGGACTCCATTTGGGGCCAGTAACTTTCCATACACGAGCTGTGGGCTTTGTTTGTTTAGGACAGTAAATTTCTATGTACATGGTGAAGGATATAAAAGGCACCTGAAATTCCTCCATTTTACCTCTTTCCTGCTCTAATTCTTTGGATCGTGGATGTACAATTAAAACGAGTGTCTTGAACTATGGATTGAGGACCTTCCAATCTTTTGGAAGTTACCACAGAAACTTTTTTGCAAGCCAGCAGTCTGTTCCATCACTGCTATAAACCTGATATGAGGACTTTGCAATCATTTCTGAATGGTTAATAGATGCATCTTTTTATTAATAAATCTTTAGTTAGTTTTACTAAGGATTAGCTGAAAGCATGATATTTGGGTAAGATTTGAAATGCATATTGACCTGGGGAAAGTGTCTGATTCTTTGGAATTAGTAAGAACCTAACATATGGTGAATCAGGTTTTCAGTATTAGACCTGTTTGTCTGGATGGGAGCCAAGGGCTGGAATGCCTAAAGGGGTACTTTTTTTTTTCGGTTTCTGATTAACCAATGTGGTACTACAGAAGCTTTTGTTACTGGCTTCATGAATCTAATTATAGAATAAACCACCAGTTTTTGGGACTGTCTGCCCTGAGTGTGGCATTCTCCATGTAGTCCATCCCAGGCACCTGGTATCAACATATCCACTCCCTACAGAGTACCTGCACTGGCCTACTGATCCAAGCTTACATAAAGAGTTGCAACATCATAGCCTAATCCTCCTTTTTCTTTTTTGCCCCCACTAAGTCCCCAACCCGCTGTGGGTAAGGTTAAAAAAACCCAACCTTGCCCTGGCAAATCTGGTGGAGAGGGGAAAAATTCATTCCCATTCTCTCCCCCCTCCTCACTCTTTTTCTTCCTTCCTCCTCCTCCCCCCCCCCCGAAGGAGCAAAAGCCCTCTGCCAGTCATGACAAAACCTGGTTCTTTAACGATTTCCAGGGGTGGGATGGTGGGTGTTGCTCCACCAGGTTCAGATGAAAACAGAGCTCTTTTTTTTACTGCACAAACATGGGCATAAATGCTATCTTCCAGTCAACTAGGGGGTGGGAGGGTTTGTGTCCACATCCCCATGCTGATCTGGTGTGAAGCTGCCTGCCATGTAGCAGGTAACTCTTGCCCCTTTAAGGGACAGAGAGCCACGTCTCTTCTCTGACTAGCTAGACAAAAGCCCCAACCACTTACAGTGACATCAGAATGACCTCACCACACATTAACTTGTTCTACACTAGTGTAACTCCACTAATTTACCTTATGTAAGTTAGTGATCATATGCTTTTTTTAAAACAATCCCTTGAATGCTTACCAGACCTATATAATGTCTAATGAACATGTATTTGTATGGTGCCAAGGATTGATGCAGTGTTGCAGGGTCTCTTCACAATGGGTCAGCTGTATATTATAGTCCAGCTCTTCTGGCTTGTTAGTGAACTTGATCCAAAACTCACTGAAGTCAGTGAGAGACTCCCCGATACTTGAATGGGATTTGGAGTAGCCCCATAGTACTGAGAGGGTTTAAATGGTGAGGATAAGTACATAGGATCTGATGACATTATCAGGGATTTTTTTGTTCTAACAAAATAAAATTGGTGAATTGCTTCATTTTGTCAGTTACAGGTCTTGAAGTATAGGATGCATATTGATATGATAAATTAAAATATTTCTTAATTAGTTTTTAAAAAAATCCTAGTTTATTTTCACTGACATAAATAGATGAATTGGAATGTCTGGTTCAAATTTATGTCTCAGTGGAAATTTCCTAATTAGGGGGATTTTTTTATTTGCTTAACTCTAAAATTTGTCTTTCATACAGCCTCAATACATTATTGTGTCTCTTATCACTATAATATCCGTTCACAACAATATTGCATTACAGAAGTAGAAAAAATGTTGCAGCTTGTCAAAGGCCAATATAATAAGAGAAATGATTCTTTTTAAAATATAAATTAGTTTAGTGTAGTAGGGCAAAATTATTCACTTGAGACACATAACCTTCAAGGATTGTGGATCAGGTCTTTAGATCCACTTGCTGGGGTTCTCAAAGGGACATTCTGTGTATGCAGGGAGAGCAGACTATTGGAGTCGAGATCTGCTGTGTGTATCAAACAGAATTGATATCTGAAAACATTGAGCAGTATTCTGAAAAAAGTAAGCTTTATTTTTTTTTGAACAAAATATCTACAATAACATGAATACCATAAACTGCACATGTTTTAACATCTCTGTCTGCAGAGAATGTTAGCTGTAGTGCTGAATATAAGGTACTATAATACAAAGGAATTTAATCAAATTCATGCATGTCACTTTTTTATAGAATTTTACTAAAAAGAAATACTTCTAAATGAAAACTGCCATTGTCTTTTTAGACAGAATTCACAGGAAGATATGTTTAAAAATCAGACAAGTAATACAGTCATATTAATATATATTTATTTAGCCTCTTAAAAAAGCTTGGATCACTATCACACAAGCTACTGTATATAATAAAATTTTATGTTGAAAGCTTATGGCACAATTTCCTCATATACAGCTCACAATTACATATCCATGGAATGTCAATATTTACTTTAGTCCATTTATCTATTAACTTCATTCTATCATATATTTTAAATTACAAATGTAAGAAATGTCTCTTGCATATTTCACAAAGATGAAAGTGAAGAAGTGCAATAATATTCAAGCATGTCAAGAATGCAGGATGAGCTGACACTCTCTTCTAGCATTACACCTACTGCTTCTAGCAATCTAACCTGCTTTCACAAGCCTGCCAAACTGATAATATTTCAGGAACTACTGTATGTAACATGTTGCCTGAAGGCACCATTTCTATAACCATTGCAAAAAGAAAAATCTACTTCTTGCTAACAAGCAGTTTAATTTGTGATTTTTTTTTAAAAAATATTTTTCATGTTAGCCTTTAAAAAATTACGCTTGTCTGACATAATTCTCTTATAAATAATCATGTACCATCTTGTACAGAAAGATACTTTGCTAATTCATAGGGGTATTGTAAGAATTCAGTAGATCAGCAGTTTAGAGGTATAAGGCCAAATTCTGCTCTGTTAGATCAGATTAACTCCTACAATAGTCTACATGAGAGCAGAATTTACTCATAAAGGGCCAATAAGTGCTAAATGTAAATACTAAGTGCACCACTTTCTTGCATCAACAAGTTTAATTGGGCTTGGTTATCATATGAACTCATTTTCATCTAATACAAAATTATTGCTAGAAAGAATACACTTGAATCCTTCTAGGGTTAAGGAAGACTTTATCTTTTTCTGTTCTAAACTATGTATGAGTTTTTACTCTTTTAATCTGAATCTTGGTTTCAACTATATTATCGAACAGTAGTTCTGGAATTTACCATGGTACAACTGGAAGCATTTCTTCATTCCTGCAGTCTAAAGTGCATATCTGAATTGCTTAAACAGAAGCATATCTAGGGTTTAAACTGGACTTTTCATAAAGCGGCCTACAAGAAAAGTGCTTCAAAAATTACCAAAGAGAGAAGCGGAGAGCTAAGAGAGGGCAAACATGTCAGAGAATTCAGAGAGACTATATACAGCTGATCTAGGACAAAAGGGGGGTGGGGGAGAAACTCAAGTTGTTTGTGACTTCCACCAATCCATTTAAAAAACTGGTGCCTGCTGTCAAGGTTCCTTGAAGCTACAATATGGTGAAAGCAATGAGTTAGTTTAAATATGCCCTTGAATAGGTAACTTATAAATAAAAAGAACTATATTTTCTTCTTTTGGCCCCCATCATCTTAGAAACATCAGGAAACAATGAACACTAATGTTTTCTTATTGGAAGCAATTATTAAAACCAACATGAGGTTTGCTTTGTGTAGGTTTAATTTGTGCCAAGGTGTGGTGGCATTTAACCATATTCTAAGCTGCTACACTGAGGAATTTAACTGAGTAAGGCCCCACATCCTTCGCGATATGGCAGATCCTGCAATACTAGGCTTTCACTGCAATTTTCATTTTAATTAGCTTACTTTGCAGTTCACAATTTTGTATACATTTTGAGTATGTAATTAGCGCTGCACTAACATTCAATGCCTATAAAATGTAAAAGGCTAAAGTGATTGGACTTGATTTCTACAGCAGTTGTAAGACTTTTAGTCTTCTGAATTTTATATTGTATGGGTCACTTTTTAAATGAATATAATATAGTTACAGCAAAATGTCTGGTAGTATATTTAAAAAAATAGCTGCCATAATATAATACTTGAGTGTTTTATATTGTTCCAGCAATTTTTTTCTTAAATAGATCTAATCTGGCTTTTCCAAATTATCAGTATTCATAGAGGTCCATTATTACTTTTTCACATCTTGTCCACAACTCAGTGGCAATTATTTTGAAGATCATCTTGTGATTCAGTTAGCACCTTAACTATGAGTTAGCTGCTAAAAAATGAGGAGGCCTGTAGCTGTTTGAATACAATATGATACACAGTTCTTATGGCACTTCCTCTTGTTTTCTCTCAAGAATGGAGGGTTTTAACAGGTGGTGTGGTCTGGAAACTCCAGTCTTCAAACCCCTGAAGAAAGCAGGTTCCAAGATTGTTCATCTTGGGGCAACCACTAAGGAGCAAGGTACTTCTGCCACATTGCTTTCTGTCCTTCCCCACCCTTTGGCTTAGTGCTCCTGAGCCATGCAGCCACAGGCTCCTCTTCCTTCACTTCTGCCTTATCCCTCTTCCTCTGAGGGAGGAAGAAGGCATGAAAGGGGAGTTAATGCTGGTCTAAGCAGCATAAATTCTTTTACTTCCTCATGGGAATCTGCCATTTAAAAGGTGACTGTAGCGTACAGCACCTATTCTAAGGTCAGCAATTTGCCCCAGACACATTGCACTCCAAATGCATGGAGGAGATCCTGTGGCACTGTGGAACATGAGGAGCATGCCACATGATCACAGCTTCCTTTTCCATTATGCCTGCACTAGTTCTATGAGAATGGATTTCTTTCTACTTGTGTAACTAGTATGGCACATTGGGCCCCAAATTATTTCTCTAGTCTTAATGCATTACTTTGGTCCTCCAACTTTGTTACATGGCACAACCACAGAAAGCAGGAGTACACAAGCTGACTTGCAAACAGTGTGGAAGACACAGGGCTTTACGTGGGCAAGGAGCCTGCTTTTCTTGAGTGGTTAACAAAAGGCCTCTTACATCAGCAGTCCCGGCACTCTGGAGGGCACAGGGACACTACAACCAGTGCATTGAGGGCAGCAGATTAACATCTCTGGGGCAAGGAGAAGCTTTGCCTGAGGCATAATAAGTAGGGCTGGTTGGGGAATTTTTCAATGAAACTTCTTTATTTTTTTGGCCTGAAAGTGCTGATTCATCAAAGCTGAAACTTTTCATGGGAAAGGGTCAGTTTCTCAACTTGGAAAAACATCAGAATTTTTTTCTTGAAATATATCAAAATGAAACATTTAAACTTTAAGAATGAAAAAAGTAATTTCAAATGGGAACACTGGGATTTTTCCTTTCAACTAATTATAGTTTTTAAATGTTTAAACAAAACGTCTTGAAATCATCAAAATATTTCAGCTGACCTGAACTGATTTTTTTAATTTTACTGGGGGGGATTTTTGGTTCTTGAACACTTTTCAATATTTAACTGTTTTCTGTTCCAAATCAGAACATAATTTTGAAATCATGAACATTTTTGTGCATAGGAAAACAGTTTGTTAGAACTCAGCAGGAACCTCCTCACTTCTCTTCCTCTGAGTCTCTGTACTGCCCTCTACCCACACCTGTGGCATAAATATCCCAATCTCTTCCATAACATTTACAGTTTCTTCCAACGTTGGTTTAACTAACATAGGTGTAGGGTAGGTGTGTTGTGATGTTTTGTCACTCCCTCTATATAGTCCACCCTGGCATTCTATGATCTAAAGAGAATCTGTTTTAAGACTAAGATCTTCCTAGCAGATGAGCCCCTGGCACTGAGAGATCATTCCTGGATCTGTGTGGTTGGTTGGCATGTCTGCTGGTATTTTGGACTCTTTTTCCATAGGCACTAATGGGTAGCTGGTATTTTGTGACATGAGACAACTTAAAATCTTACTTAACAATTCTGTCATCTTATGATTTTTTTTATATTCAATGGAATATGAATACTTTGAATAAAGTTTAAGCTGCAAACTGCTGACTGGCTACAGTGCCTTTTGCTGAAATAAATGTTTCTTAGCTGATTGATAAGGCTCTGTATAGGCAATTGTTACCATAAGGATCTCATAAAAAATGTGGAGTTGTCTTCTGGGGGAGAAATCTTGACCCCATTGAATTCAGTGGGGCAAGACTGCACTCCAAGTAGTTAACTTAAAAAAAATCACAACTTGCTGGATGATTGTTTAAGTAGTTACAAAATAAATCACTGTAGCTTGTCCCTTCTGTCTCAACCATTTCTGTTCTTAGTACTGTTACTAAAGCAAAGACATTCCAGAAATGATCCAATAACAGATTTCTCTTTTTTTTAAAAAAAGGAACATACAGAACTATAAATATATACACTTAGAAATACTTTGCAATCCTCTACAGGAGTATATAATATACTCCCTTCAATACATGGCTCCCATTAGTATCAATGTAATACACTGCCTGTTGTCACATATTAAATGTACATCATTTTAATCCATTAGGGATGTCTGAAAAGCAATCAAACTGAAGGTTTATGGGTTTACAATGTATATACTGTAGTTGCTAATGTGATTACTATACAGTAGTTGCAGAAATAGTATGCTACACTGATTCTCCTCCCCCTCTTTCTCCCTGTCACACAAGGGGGAGGAGGAGGGTGTTCATGGAGAGTTATTGATTTTATCTGGCTCTTCTCTACTTTTCTCTGTCCCGCCACACAATTTTGCCACTGTTAGTGCCTATTCCATTTTCTATCTTGCTCTTAAGACTTTGTCTTTTTTTTCCCATCTAATAACCTCTTTTCTAAATCTTAGTATTTTCCCACTATTGAATGTTTAACTTTGTAATTGTATTATTCGGCTCTGTTCAAGTGTCTTCAAAACCAACTTGTGTATGCATAATATTCAGCCTATTGGACTTCTTTGGAAAGTCTGAGTGAGATCCTCAGCTGGTGTAAACTGGTGTAGCTCTAGGGACTGTATTTATTCCAGCTCAGGATCTGGCCTAGTACACTTTATATACTGATTCATGCAGAGTTCCTTTATTGGTGTTGGAAGGGAAGATCATTGTTTTAAATAAGAAAGAGAAAAGAACAAAAGACAAGCATGGAGAATTGTATAACATTTTATGAATGCCTCATGATAATGGGCCCAATCCTACTCCTCTTGAAATAAATGGGACACTTTACCACTGAATACAATGGGCACAGAAATGCACCAACAAATCTTTCCAGAGATTTATAGTATTTAATAGTTTGCAGGAGACAAAAGCCACTTGGCCAGCTTCTCACTCTTGTGTATATAACACACACATGAGAGTTAATGAGTTCAGTTTTTCTGGACAGGATATATAAATATATTTGTGAAAGTTATATCACATATCCCTAAACAATTGCTACAAATCAATGTTATGCATTACTGGGGGTGGGAGGGAGAAAACCTAAATAGGAGCATATTCAAAATTGAAGAGTTATGCAATTGTTTTCTGAGACAATCTAGCACAACCAGATTGCCATTCTTTTAAAAATCCCCCTAGTTAATCCTCAAACAAAACAAATGTTGTGTTCTAATCTTCAATGCAAGGATATGTTGCTATGACTAGTTCATATGCAATATGCCTCTAGTAATGCAGCAGATGTTTGCCTCCAGTTGTTTTGCTTTTGTGTATGCACTTTGAGCTGTAACAAACCCAAAATTTTAAATGTGCTCAAAACAAAAACTTTTCAATAATAAATTGTCTTGGCTATTGGATTTCATTACAAGTTCAAAGCGTCAGGTATGCTCTTGCCTATAGCTGTCTATAGGTTTCCACATTTTAGAACAATTTTTTTTGCTTTTCATTAGAGAAGTGGCAACATTATTTACTGGAAGTTATTTTTTAAATGATATAAAATCTATTGTGTAATAATTTGAAAGAAGCAATGAATGTGATCTATGTAATTCTAAGTAGGGAAAATTTGCTCCAGCAGGTATCTTTTATCATGAAGTGCAGTAAAAATAAAAGATTGTCCTGATATATTTTTAGAACTGCTTAGTGTTTTCTAAGATACAGACTATTTTCTGCTAGTGTCTAAGAAGTCATGTCAGAATCTTCTCATCAAACAAATCATTCAAAAAAAGACTGACCTGGTTATCTTTATGTAATTGTATATCAAACTTTCACTGATGATAATGGAAATAGCTGTGCAGAAATGTTGCCACAGTCAGCTTCAAAAAAGTTCATAAAAGTTACTTTTATCATAGGTATAGTCTAAGTGACATCCTTTTTGTTTTGTTTTTAATGTCACTTTTCACAGAAACTTATCTTGATGTCATTTTTAATTGTCTGCCTTGTCTCCACAAATACTGGTTTCTGAACAATTACCTGATGAGAGAAACATTTTAATCCTTTTGATTTTTTATTTTCTCTTTCAATTTATCCAAGGGTGATTGTGAGTAATTAAAAGTACTTAAGGGCAACAATCCGTTAACAGTACTTTGTTCCCATTGTGATATGCACAATACCAGAAAGTTTGACTAGTGGGTCGCTTCAGACTGGGCAATAGATGTTTGGTGCTACTTTGGGCATTACATTGCCATGTTTTTAAGCTCCAGGGGAACCATAATCCATTTATGAAGTGCTTTGTATGAGTAAATTTTTTTTTTTAAAGAACCCCATAATATAATTTAAATGTATCCTGTGCTCATTACAAAACCCACTAAAACAAGAAAATGTGCTTGAGCTCTAAAACTCAAATCAGTAGTTCATTACTAATTTGTAAACTTTATATTCAAATTTCTAACCCTCCTTTAATCTGTTACTATGGGAGTCATCTAAGACATGTTAGACCCATTTTGTAATATTTTTTAAAAATACAGCTGAATTAAAAAATTGTAAGGATCTTTAAAGAATACTGTACAATTATACCACAATGTAAAAGTATATATAAACACATTGGCAGTAAAGCTGTAGTATAGTGTTGTGGTTTTTTACTATGAAAAAGTTGATTGATTGTTTAGTTAGTATGAAGTAGAAACCTAGTAATAGCAGATATACCTTCACTGGGTGTCATTCTTCATCTGTCCAATAGTGACTCTGCATAGCAAGTCAAATGGGATCTCTTTCTTTATGCCTTTTAACTATCCCAGTAAGCAGCTGTATGCACATTTGTAATGGAAAAACCTCCTGCTGAACATGCCAGCCCAAACAGTATGTACTAGAAGCCTTAATCTTGTTATTGGTGAATGTCCTCATGCCTAATGATTTTATAGATAACCCAATAAAAAATGTTGAAAATCAGAAAGGCTAATGGGAAGCAAGCTCTGGAAATGGTATCGATTTTCTTGGCTCGGTCAATGAATACCTTCCTCATTTCATCGAGGCTTTTTGGTGCAGCTTGAATAGGATTATTTGGCCCCTTTGGAGTCACTCCATCTTTTCCTTGCAGACATGGTCCCACTCCATAGGCTGTAAAACTGAATCGACTTTCCCTTACCTCATCGTCCTGTTGCAAGAAAAGTAAGAAAGTTCTTCAGTTACATAGGTTTCTAACCTGCTGAAAACAAAGTTCTACGTCCTTACTTCAGTAGCTTCTTTAACCCACCACTTCATATTTGCTGGATGACATCTTGGTCCCATTGAAGTCAATGACAAAACACCCTTTAAAATCAAGGAGGGGGGGATTTCACCAACTGGCATTTTTAAATACATAATCTATTCAACTTCCATTATTTCTAATGATCTGTGATTGGACAAATGATCAATTTACTCTGTTCTTTCCCATTTAGAGCCCAATTCCTTGGTCTTCAGCCAGGCAAAACTCGCATTGCTCTTTTGGACAGGGACCATATCATTTGTACTGTACATAGTGTCTAGAGGCCAGGGCCCCATTGTGCTATCATAGTACATATAACATGTTGACATCAATTAAATTAGTGGGAATTCTGCCTGCTTGAATACTGTACTACTGTAAATCTAATTAGTCTAATTTTTACACCTTATTTCTATAGTTTCATATAGATACATCAAATAAAAATTCTTTTTTTAAAATGAAGGGAAATTGTAGGTAAAATGTTATAAGTAGAGAAGGCTAAGGTACAGGGATCAAAACTAAGGGCCATATTCTTTGCAGTTTCTCCACTGTACATACAGAACAAATCTGTTGATGTCAATGCAGTTATTCTGGATTTACTCATGTGTGAGTGAGAATTGAATTTGGTCCTAAATCCATTGAATGGAAAGAAGAATTATATACATACATGGGGATGTGGTACATGTCCAAAGAGGTGGCTTTCATTTTGTGAGCACATTTTACATCGCTACTTACCCAATTATGGGTACCAGGTAGGGAGAGATGCACAGGCTCAAATTTGCTACTGTAACTTATTCTGCAGGTGCAAATATAGATATATAAATTGTACACAGGAACTGAGACCAGGTCCAAAACTGACTGAAAGTATATCCCAAAGTCTCCTTTACCTTTAAACTATGTGTTTCTTCTTCAATACATATCCTACTGAAGAGTAATCAAATTACTTTTGAGGAATTCGTATTTGAATTAATTTTAAACTCTATTTCTTGTTCTTATCTGATCTCGTTTAAGTGCTCTATAACCATATGCTTTTAAGATCTCTGAAGTGTAACAAAATAAAATAAGTATTCACATCTTATTTCACAAATAATGATGTAGTCCAGGAAAGCTGTTGCCTTAAACGACTGGAAGAAGAAAATAAAGTTACAAGTTAGACTTGGGGGGAGGGGGAGGGGGGAATCAGTTCCTTCCCATCCCATGAGAATTTTTGAGCTTTCAAAAAAAGCCCCTGTTCTGTATTACGATGAAAAGTGAAAATCTTAATTTTTTTTTCATGAACCAAAAATAGACAGAATCCTATCAGATTAATTGAAATGTTTCATTTCAAAACATTTCATTTTGATTTAGACTTTTATATTTTTTCCTACAAACTTCTAAACCAAAAGTCCTTCTGAACCAAAAAAAAGTTTGTTTTCAAAATGGATTGTCTTGAAAATTTCAAAGCTTGTTCAATTTTTTATTTTTATTTTTTAAAATGAGGAGTTTGTCAAAACCATTCCTTTCCTGTGATCAGTTTTGGTGTCGACAAATCAGCGTATTCTGGAAAAAACACAAACATTCAGTTAAATTGAAAAGTTTAGGCTGACAGTCACCTCAGGGATTTTAAAATCTCAGCAATGGAATCTGAGAATGGTTGCCATTCCACTGAAATGCTTTTTAAATTTATACTGTTGCAATCCTATAAACTTATTCACAGTTCTCTGTTTTAATAACACTTCTATAGTGGCTTTATTGTAATTAGTAATGCACTCTAGTAAACAAAAAAAGGAAAATTAACATGACAGCAAGAAAACAGCAGTAGGTTACTAAAACATGGGGATGAATAACAGAAATATAAAATGATAGCAGGGTGCAAATGTTATGACATGATTAAACAAAACTGTTTTAAACTAAGTACTCTGGTACCAGTATTTGTTTTCTAAAAACCTGGGAAATAACATCTTCGTTGTAATACTTTTAATAGGTGAAATATGACGTGCTAAATTCATCTTGTGTAACTCTTGACTTCAGTGGAGTTACATGTAAGATGAATTTGGCCAATAGATTTTTAAATACCCAGACTCTGACTAAGGTCCTCACCCTCCATATTCTTGCTACTGGATGAAGGGCTTACTACAGTGAGTAGTTCCTTTGACCTAAAATAAGTGTTTGATTTCTTGCAATAGCAAGGACTACTCTCAGAGTGTGTCTGCAGGATCCGGCTCTAAAATGGGACACAAGACTCTGTTCTATGTTACTAACTAAAATTAATCTTCTTCTGAATGCTCCCTCAAAGATATCTGAAAATAAAATCCTCTCAAATAACGCTGATGGTTCATTTGTTTTCATAGGTGAATTTTTCTGTTGCTTCTCTTTGAAATATAATTGGGTTGTGTCCCTGACCATCTTGGCAAATATCCATTGTTGGACCTATGCTCCATGAATGTATCTAATTCTTTTTGAACTCAATTTTATTTATATATAATTAAATGGACCAGCTCCTCAGCTGGTGAAGCCACTCAGTTGGAGGTATACTGACGTACATCACCTAAAGATCTGGATCATAGAAATTCCCATTCAAAAATGCACTGAATGTTGATTTGAAAACTTAAGTCTTCATTTTAGAATGTCACGATGAAACAATTTTTTTCTTTTCTTTTCCTTTACATGATTGTCTGGTACATTGTCTTTTTATGTAAAAGGAAAATATAATATAAAATATAAAAAGGAAAAAAGAAAATAACACTTATTTATAAAAGCCTTTGCTGAAGTTTTAATATTAAACCAGAAGTTTTCATGTATACTGCTTAACAAATTAATCATTAAAAATTGTTCAAGGTCTAGTTACATATATTTTTATTAGTATAAATAAATATTTTACCAGCTCTTTAAATATTATAGTAATTAATGAGTGCTCCTAAATATAGGTACAGATTTTTGAAACACAACCAGAATCCTTAGAGGCTTGAAGGCAGTGAGCTGGGTTGGTTTATTTGCATATCAGTATCACTATAGAAAATACCTAGGCATAAAAAAATGATCAAAATATTTAAATTCCCTTTGGCTCAAGATGTTTTCTGTTTGATATATGCTTTAAATAATTTATTCTTCCTGAGGAATAACACACATTTGCTGAAATATCTTTACTATAATTTTTGGCTGTAAGTAATACTAATAGTTTTAGGATGTATTTATAACCTTTGAGTTATTTTGAACATTTTAATGTTTTACTCTCCACACTTTTTTGCAGAAAGCATTTGTAGTTGAAAGCTGAATAGGCATTTTAAAATATGTATCCAACCAAGTTATTTCTCTTAGCTCTGATGTTAATTTTTAAGCCTCCTTTGGAATAGCAGAAAGTCACATTTTAATTCCCTGTTTTAATTCCAGATGTACACAGGTCCGTATAAACTACAGAATTAACAAAACAGGTACCTTTTTAATAACACTTTACGTCATCACATACAGGTAATAATGAGTCCACGTGGGGGAAAACATCGGTTCAGACAAAAGAACAGGGCCTTTGTTAATGACTGTGTATCACATTATGACAAATGGGACATCTGCTACATAGTTTACCCTTAAATTTGTACTGTAGATTTGAGCCAAAGTCCCGTCTATAGGTTCTGCACTTCTCAAGCCATTGCTACGTCGCAATGATTCATTGATTTCATTTCCATCAAGCACTCCCCCAAAATACTTTCATCAAAATGGAGGGAAGACCAAAAAGGAAAAAGCAAAACAAAGGAAAACAAACAAAGAAATGTGATTATCATTAAAAGGTATAATCAATCTAGTCTGTGCATCTATTTTCGTCACTAAAGATACCATGATATTTAGGTCTATATGAAAACAGAATAAAAAAGCTTGAATATTCCTGAGAAGTACGTTTATTGCATTAGAATTTAGTTTAAAAATAGAAACTGTATTTTTCAGTATAGTACAATATTCCTCTGTGCTTGCTTTTTTTGAAATATCAACAAGAAAAATAAACTCAATATGGACCAATTATGTATGATGCTTCTAACTCTGTCTCTTCTTTTGTCTCTTTCTGCTCATTCAGGTGCTTTAAGAACAAAAGTTTTATAAAGTAAGTGTTTTTAATTCTTAAAGTTCAGATCAAATAAATTAAAGTGGTAGACTTGAATAGTCATTTGTCTGTTTCTATCACAAACATCTGTGCACTTTTCTTCATGCTTCCCTTTTATGCATGGAATGTTCTCCAGGAATCTATCCTTAAGGGCATTATGCACTCCTTCAAATCCATCCTCGCAACCTACTTCTGCTATGATATCTATCAGGAAGGCAACAATGACTAGGATACATGACATGTTGGTTTAGATGACTTGAATGGAAGTAAGATTGGACATAAATAATACACACACATAAATAGTCTTTTTCTGTACTTTCCCATGAGAGTTGGATTGAGCCTTCAAAAACAAAATCATCTTTAAATAATTTGGAACCAAAGTTAAGATCTCACAGCTGTAATCATTATCTCCATTACAATTGTCTCCCTACCTCCATCCTCCTTTTGTTCATCAAACTCACTTGTTTCAATTGGTCTCAAATTAGACTGTAAGGCCTTCAAGGAAAGGATTTCATTTTCATATGTTTCCATGCATCTAGCACAAGGGGGCTAGTTGTGACTGGGAGCTATTACTAGAACTAGTTGATGATAAATGGTAAATATTTTTGTGAAAATTGTCAATTTTTTTAATTAAAATGAATTTTGAATTTTTCAACCAGTTCTAACTACCACAATATAAATCACAATAATGTCCAGATTCTGTTTTTTGCCAAAATCTAGATGTAAAAATTGTTTCATCTTGAAAAATGTTGCAGACAGTTTAGAGTAAATTATAGATTTGCAGTATTAAAAATTAAAACAGTCGAAGCTTTGGGCCACATGCTTTGCCTGTGCAGAAAAACCTAAGTAGGGCCTAGACAACACTGATTCCACAAACGGAAAGTCATTGTGTTAGGAAGTACCCTATGGAACTGGTAAAGATCCATCCCTGTAAACCTGTCAGGGTCCCAAGATTGTAGATGGACAGAATTGTCTAAAAGGCTTTTTCATCCCTAAAGTCTCTGCTTCTATAATCTACCTACGTATAACACAGAACAGAATGGCAGTTCTAAATCATAAGAGCGGATTTAAAGGCCTGTTGTTTGAACACCTATCCTGGTATTTAATTTCTCTTCATTCTCCCATTGTTGAGTTCCTGGTTAAATAAAGGTCACTGAAAGCTGTTTTCTTTATATGATGCATCTTGAAGAAAGAAGTCAAATAAAATCTAATCCCTGAGAATCCGTGATTGTTAACCTTTGCCAAATGAGTCAAAATGTACACTAAACTTTATAATAACTGGCTACAGTAGCTGAGTGGGAAACTGATAGGCAGAAACCAGCATAACAGTATTAAAGTGTATTTGTTAATTTACTAAATACAATTGCACATAAATTCCATATTTAGAAAATGTACTGAAAAAATCATGTTTGTTTGAAAGACTGTTTAACTCTGTTTTAATCCAGAAGACTTCAATTATTTTTGTTAGCAGTGTTAGTGATCTATCAAACGTTTTCTCAAGGAGCAATGTCCTTTTTATAGTTGCCCAACAAGAAAGTGTTAAATAAGGCTGTAAGAAAAGGGATACTGGCAGAGTTGTCTCCAGACCTGCAAGCCAGAATTAAATCCGGAGGTGGGTTTGGAGTCCACTTCCCTGGAGGTGGATATAAGCACTAGCCAATAGATCCTCTGCTCACCAGCCACACCAAGCATCAATGTCAATTGCAAATAGAACTGCCTGCCTTCCCTTATAGAAAAAATTGACTTCAATAGAAAAGACACAAACAAATTCTGGGGATGGAAAAATGCAGTAAGCAGAAGGGCTACGTAGATTTATTTATTTTATTTTATTTTACACCACTGAAATTAAACACATTCTTTAAAAAGCAAAAATGTAAACCCAAAAACACAACAAAAGGAGAAATGCACACACCAAGTGATTCTTAAAAAACAAACAAACAAACAAAAAAAAAACAAACTATCAGAGTAATATTTAGCAAAAGTGGTTAACATGTTTGCTTTTTTCAATCATCCACCTTTTAAAGTGTAACAATTGGAATTTCATACATACTCTATCATTAGCACTTTTCAGTTCAATGCATAGAACAAGGAAATCCAGGCATAGAGTAGATAGAGAAATCAATGAATAAAATGTAGGAATATTTTAAAGAAATAACTAAAATTAAAATAACAAAATACTTGAATGTTTTACTGTGGCATTGACTTTTCTCTGTAATTGCTCTATGTATGAATGTAATTAAACAAAATTAAATATTTTCATTTCATGTAAATTGCTGAAATAGGTTTGTCTCATTCAATGCTAAATATTTTACAATATCTTAAATGTTTGTTCATAGTGTTGTCACTACACTCTTTGCCCTGTGCTGCCTTGGAATATGCGCACACAATTCTTACTGACTTAAATGTCAGTTTTGCCTGAGTATCTTCTGGAATGTGGTCCTATATTGCAGCCTAGGAGCCCAATTTGAGCTCACTGACACCAGTGTCTAGCAGAAGTAATTCAGGAGGTGTTGGAGGTTCAAGGGCTTGTACCGGCAAGGCACTGAGTATTGTGGCCTGGTCCACCAAAGCACAGATATCAATGAGACTATGCTTGTACTTTAAGTTTAGCACATGTTTAAGTGGTCGTCTGGATCAGGCAAGAATGTTCAGTACGTTGTGGGTCCATCCCTAAGGCCTTTAAATTGGATTAACTGATAAAGAGGTGTATTGGGGGGAAGCTGAAGTCTTGCTTAAAAATTGGAGATGTAAATGAAGTTATTTTGATGCTAGAGGAGAAAGGAAACCTATTACTCTACCAGTCTGTGCCCTTGTGCTTAGAATACCCAATCTGTTTTTCACTTTGACTTTGATCACGTGGTGAAAAGACACTATTTGAAATCAGGTTTCAGAGTAGTAGCCATGTTTCTGTATCAATTTTTGTTGTGTGGTGTGTAGTTGCTGGTGAGTATCTGCTTTGGGGTAGGGGGCTGTCTGTAAGTGAGGACTGGCCTGTCTCCCAAGGTCTGAGAGAGTGAGGGATGAGTGAGGCCAGTCCTCGCTTACAGACAGCCCCCCCAACCTGAAGCAAATACTCACCAGCAACTACACACCACACAACAAAAACACTAACCCAGGAACCTATCCCTGCAACAAACCCCGTTGCCAACTCTGTCGGCCTATCTATTCAAGGGACACCATCATAGGACCTAACCACATCAGCCACACCATCAGGGCCTTGTTCACCTGCACATCTACCAATGTGCTATATGCCATCATGTGCCAGTAATGCCCCTCTGCCATGTACATTGGCTCAACCGGACAGTCTCTACACAAAAGAATAAATGGACACACATCAGACATCAAGAATTGTAACATTCAAAAACCAATAGAAGAACACTTCAGTCTCCCTGGACACTCAATAAGAGACTTAAAAGTGGCAATTCTTCAACAACAAAAACTTCAACACCAGACTCCACTGAGAAACTGCAGAACTGGAATTAATTTGCAAACTGGACACCATCAAATTAGGCCTGAATAAAGACTGGGAGTGGATAGGTCACTATAAAATCTAATTTTCCCTCTGCTCATACTCACACCTTCTTGTCAACTGTTGGAAATGGGCCACCTTGATTGCATTGGCCTAGTTAGCATTACAAAAGTAATTTTCCCTCCCTTTCAGAGTAGCAGCCATGTTAGTCTGTATCCGCAAAAAGAACAGGAGTACTTGTGGCACCTTAGAGACTAATAAATTTGTTAGTCTCTAAGGTGCCACAAGTACTCCTGTTCTTTTTCCCTCCCTTGGTATTCACCCCTTCTTGTCAACTGTTGAGAATAGGCCATTTCCACCTTAATTGAATTGGCTTGTTTGCACTGACCCCCCACTTGGTAAGGCAACTCTCATCTTTTCATGTGCTATAATATATATTCTGCTTACCGTATTTTTCACTCCATGCATCTGTTGAACCCATGCCTCTGTTGAACCCAGTTGAAGTGGGTTCTAGCGCACAAAAGCTTATGCCCAAATTTGTTAGTCTCAAAGGTGCCACAAGGACTCCTCACTGGTTTTTATTTGAAATCAATTAAGTGAAATTAGCATGCCTGAGACCCAAAGTAAACTTTGCATTTACGATATTGCAAAAGCTTCTACCAGAGCGAAACAAGAGAAATGGACCAAAAAATCATCACATAATGGATCATGCAATATAACTATTAATACTCCATGATGCCTTAATTTTTACCTGACCTGCACTCTTCCCAGTAATCTCTCTCAGGCCCATCGCTAACACTTCAAACCTTGAAGCTGCTTTCAGAGAGCTGCCATTATTTCAAAAATGCCTTTCCTCCTATATGGCTGGGGGAAGTGCACTTTCTGTTAGTCAGCACAATATACAATACTTCCCCCCGCTTCCCCTCCCACCCTCCCCTCCCGCTTTTTTCCTCCTGTTCAGTCAGGGCTAGATTCTGAAAGCCCTTGGTGGGCCTGAGCCTCAGTGGGCACAGGAGCCAGCCCAGTATTGGGCAGAAGTAGCCACCAGATTCTATGGAGGCATCTTCTTGGACATGAATTTGAGTTGTAATCGAGGGGGCCATTTGCCACCAACAGCAGCACTTTCCACCCTGGCACCTGCAATCTGAATCCTGCCCTAGTGCACAGGGAGGGGTGGGAGATACTCAAGAATAAGCCTGGTCCACCCTGCACCAACCCCATAGTGGTGCTCACCTCCTGGGGGCCCAGCTCTCCCTTCAGGCATTGTGATCTGGCATGCAGGGTTGCAGTGCCACTCCTATTTGGCCTGGCTGCCCCTCCGTCATGACAAAGGATTTGACCAGGCCAAATTTAAGTGAGTGTAGGGTTACCATACATCCTCTTTTTCCCGGACATGTCCGGCTTTTCGGCAGTCAAACCCCCGTCCGGGGGGAATTGCCAAAAAGCCGAACATGTCC